TGGTGGTGCCAGAGGACCGACGGGTGGGTGAGTGACCGTAGTCGCACGACACAGCAGCTACCTGACCTGACCTGACCTTACCTGACCAAGTGTGGTGGGACCAGTGAGTAGTGAAGTACAGACAGAGCCCGGCTCCCTGTGGAAAGTGGCTAGAGGCGCCCCAGTGGCACCTGTGCAGGAGGCAACAGTGGGAAAGTGGTGACAGCTCCGAGGTTGTGGAGGTGACTGAAACACACCAGGTTCCTAGAGAACGAGGGGTGTAGTAACCTGTGAGAAACCCAGAGGGAGCCGCTGGACACACCGAGAGTGGTGGTGCTCTTGCAACTACAGATCCACGGAGGGGTCAGCTAAGGCGACAGTGATTGGATGTGCAGTGGCGTGAGGTCGGTGCAGTCGCGAAAGAAACAGCTGGACGCTCCAGAGTCTAGGGTGAAAGAAAGCCGTGCAGTCGGTGAGTCGCACCCGAGCCAGCGACAAAGGTCTAGTACTAGTGTGTGGCTGCAGCTCCCACACTAAGAACCTCTGAGGCGCCCTGGAAAACGACACACACGCACCAAGACTGGAAACATAAGCTCAATAGCAGTTGCAGCTCCCACGTGACGGGGTGTGTACTGACGGGTCCGTCAGGCCCCGCTGTGGAGGCAGCTGCTGCAGTGAACCTGAACTGCTGCAGTTGCAGCCACCTGTGCTGCTGCCGCTGCCACTGCTGCTGCTGAGACCACTACTGCTGCTGCTGCGAGACCACTACTAATGCTGCACACGAACTGCGATGCGAAGCGCAGCAGCTGGCGCAGGACGCGGGGTTTTTCATCACAGCGAATCAGTCCGCCCACTGCCCCATGTGAAGAGCAGACCGCTGACTTCACCATGACAGACCGTAGCAGCGGGGCAGTCTACGTCTGTGATGTGACCATCACGGACCCTATCAGCACAAGGGACCCTGAAGCACAGAAAGGCAGGGGGTGGGCGGCAAGGGGAGCTAGCCGCCAAAAAGATACAGCACCTACACTAACCGCCCAGAGACGGTTAGCTTCTTCCCCCTGGCTGTGGAAACCTACGGCTGCCCTTGCGCCGAGGTACCTGTTTTTCTGAAGCTCTTAGCAGACACGGCGGCTCGGCGCCACTTCAACGCCGACTCAAAATCCTTTCATGCCGCGAAGTTCTGCACCAGTTCAGACAGAGATGGTCGGTGGCCCTTCAGAGGCACAGTCTGTGGGCCTCTTACTCAAGCTCGGGGAGGCAGCAGCAGCAGAGAACCCGCCGGAAGGCGAAATTGGGCAGGAGCTGAACATGGGGGGATTGTTTTGCGGCAGCACTACGCCTCCCTACCAGAGACGGTGGACCTTCTTCCCCTGGCTGTGGACACCTATGGCTGCCCGTGTGCGGAGGTACCAGCCTTTTTGAAGTCTCTAGCGGACACTGCAGCTCGGCGACACTTCAACGCCGACTCTAAATCGTTCTATGCTGCAAAGTTCCTGCACCAGTTCAGGCAGCGCTGGTCTGTGGCCCTGCAAAGGGGCCCAATCTGTAGGCCTCCTGCTCAAGCTTGGGGAGGCGGCGGCGGTCGAGAACCCGCCGGTGGGAGGAATTGGGGAGGATTTGCATCTAGGGGACTGCTTTGCAGTGATTGAGCCCCTCGTAGAGTTGTAGAGCGGCGATGTTGGCAACCAGCATGCTTGTTATCTAGGTCCACGATAATTTGCCTGCCTGTACTTGACTGCTATATCAATAAAAGGACCATTAGAGAGAGAGAGAAGAGAGAGCTCAATAAACTACGAAAAAAAAACTAGCATAGGGGACAAAAAACAGAAACTAAGAACAAACACGATGCACCTACGAATAGAAGGGGTGGCTAATGATAGAGTCCGAAAAAAAGAAGGTTGAAGAATGGATAAAGCAAAAAAGTCACGAACCCTAAAGAACAAATGTCACTAGATGCGGAATTGTCAGAATAATATCTTATTGTTCTAGCCTGTAGTGGGGGGCTCTATAGCGAGTACAACCCTTCTAGGGTTTGCTATTTGTATCCTCATTCTTGCTAGTTCAATCCTCTTTCTTCCTTCAAACTTGACATGGTATCAGAGCAGGTCGATCCCCTTGGATCGATCCTGTGGGTGTGTCCCCACCTTGCTTCCGCTGCTACTGTTTCCTCCCGCCGTGCGCCCCGAGGCGCGCGGCGATTTTCTGCCCGCCGTGCGCCCCGAGGCGCGCGGCGGTTTTCTGCCCGCCGTGCGCCCCGAGGCGCGCGGCAGGCTTCTCCCATACGTCGCGGCCCCGCCCTACGAAGCGGCCCTGCCCTACGTCGCGGCCCCGCCCCTTGTCGCGGCCCCGCCCTCCCCTCAGGTCCGTGGTGGGCCCCCCCACCCCCCCCCCCCCCCCCCCCCCCGTTCTCCCCTCCCCCATTTCCCAGTCGTCCGTCGTGGCGACCTGAGGGGCGAAGCTGTTGGGTGGCGGGTATGGGGGTGGTCGGTGTGCCTTCCTCCCTTTCTCCTCCTCCTCCTTCGTCTCCCACTGCTGCAGCTGTCGCTGAGGGGGGTGGTTGTGTGGGAGACTGGGTTTAGGGTTTAAGGGGGGTGCGTGGGAGTAGAGCTAGTGGTGTAGCAGTGGGTGTGTATCAGGGGGGTGGGACTGTGTGTGGGAGGATGAGCGGAGGTTGCCAGTTTGTCGTCAGCAGCACCTGTAGTCCGGGGCGCTGTCCCGGTAGCCCAGTCGTAGCCAGCTGTGCCAGCCGCCCGTGGGTCCGTTGCCCGTCCGCCGCTATTTGAGCCGCGGGGCCTGTTACTCCTGTAGTCCGGGCGCTGTCCGGTAGCCGCTGTGCCAGTCTGCCTCCTGTTGCCCGTGTGTCTGCAGCTTCAGCCGTCGCCTCCTGTCTCCTCTCCCCTCACTCTCCCTCCTCCTCCTCACTTGCCCGTTGTGACTACCACTAGCTTTGCTTATAATTGTACACTCTAAACTATTTCTTCTTGAACTTGTGCTCAGAATGTGTGGTGACATTGTGATCCACCCTGAGCTTGTTTTTGCTTTGCCTGCTCTGCTGATTACACCCCACTTTGGCTATGGGGGTGTGTCAGAATATTATCTTATTGTTCTAGCCTGTAGTGGGGTGCTCTATAGCGAGTACAACCCTTCTAGGGTTTGCTATTTGTATCCTCATTCTTGCTAGTTCAATCCTCTTTCTTCCTTCAAACTTTGACAGGAATATACTAAAAGGAAGAAACAACTCCATAAAATCTCAAGAAATGGAATGAACGAGATCAGTAAGGAACGAACATGGGACTGGAGGAAAAAAATGAAGGAAAAACAAAAACCGGAAAGACAAGGATTCAAGGTAAGACGAGAAATAAGAGAGCGATACGAAATGAAGCAGCCTTAGTAACGACTAAAGGAAAAGTGACATCCTTACAAAGGCATACAACCTAAAAACAGAATGATCGAGCTCGGAACGGAACTAGTTCGGTGGAAAGGAAAAGGAAGAAAAAAATTCACTCAACTAGAATGAGCTTAACGATAAAGAGAAAATAGGAGCTGCCTCATGCAGGAGGAAACGTAGAACAGGACCTTATACGATGAAATTTGGAGTTCTTACAAAAGACATGATGTGAATAAAGGAACGTGAATGAATGACTAAGAACGAAGTGAGTACAAATAGGAAACCCTAATTGGGTTGTACCCCCTATGGGATACCCCACTATAGCCTACACAAATAAGTAGGCTATAATGTTCTGACACACCCCCATAGGCAAAGTGGGGGAGAACAAGGGGTCACAAGACCAGTCAAGCAAAGTAAAGCAAAGCTCAGGGTGGATCACAAAGTCACCACACATTCCGAGCACAAGTTCAAGGGCCACAAGGCCAGTTCACATGCAAGATAATATATAGAGATATACAAGAGCCAAGCAAGCAAGAGCAAGAGTATATATAGGTAAAGGTACAAGCAAGGTCAAGAAGTGAGCAAGTGAGGCAAGACAGGCACAAGACCCATTTGCGTGCAGCAACGCTGATGATCACAAGGCGCAAGTGCCTTGGTGAAGACATCAGCAGTGTTGGCCTCATATGCCACGTACGCAAGTCGCAACTGTCCACGCTGCTGTAGCTCACGAGCAAGAAAGTAGCGGAGAGCAATGTGCTTTGTCCTGTGCTCCAGTCGCTGCTCTCGACACAAGGCCAGCATGGCCTTGTTGTCTACGTACAGGACTGGAGGAGAACGAGGCGGCTCTCCAAGGTCGGTCAGCAGGTAGGTGAGCCAACGTAACTCCTGTGCAGCCATAGCCCCGGCGTAGATCTCAGCCTCACAACTGGAGCCGAGAATAGAAGACGAGCGGGTAGCCCGCCACGAAACAGAGCCGGAACCAAGGCTGAAGGTGTAACCCTGTGACGACCGCTGCGTAGCCTGGTCGTCAGCCCAAGAAGCGTCCGCGTGCCCAGTGAGGACCACTAGACTGCGCCCTCCAAGCACTAGCCCCATGCCCGACGTACTGCACAAGTAGCGCAACACCCTCTTCGCTGCAGCTATGTGCTCTGGTCGGTGTCTCCCAGGAGCAACATAGCGTGCAAGAATGCTAAGAGGGTATGCAAGGTCAGGTCGTGTGCAGGTCATCAGGTACATGAGGCAGCCAACAAGCTCTGGATACGGGCCACTCGACTCTACGGACTCATCCGAAGGCAGAGCTGAGAGCGAGTGGCGAGTAGGCAGAGGAGTGGCCTGAGGCGAGGAGTACGTGAAGCCGAAGCGCTGAAGGACCTGCTGCACCATGTGTGACTGAGTCAGGGTAATGGTGCGGCGTGCTCTGTCCCGGGTGATTTGCAAGCCAAGGTAGCTGCGCAGTTCACCCAGGTCAGTGCACGTGTGTCTCTTCTTCAGCTCGGACTTCACGTAGGCGAGTCAAGCGGTGTCAGCTGTGGCAAAGACCAAGTCGTCGACGTGCACGAGGATGTAGAACGGCGGCAGAGAGGTGTCGGTGCGCAGAAACAGCGACGGGTTGGCAGTAGAAGGAGCAAACCTAAGTGCCGCCAGCGTAGTCCTCAGTGTGTCGTGCCACTCGCGTGGCGCCTGGCGGAGACCGTAGACTGGACGCCGGAGACTCCACTGGGTACCAGGAGGGAAAGACCCAGTGAAGCCAGGTGGGCCAGATCTCCTCGTGCAGGCTGCCCTGCAAGAAAGCTGTGCTGAAGTCGAGAGAGTGCAGCTCGTAGTCACGGTGAGCAGCAACGTGCAGCAGTACCCGAAGAGTGGTCATCTTCGGGGTGGGGGAGAAAGCCTGAAAGTAGTCAACTCCCTGCCGCTGACTGAAGCCACGAGCCACGTAACGCGCCTTGAAGACAGGCGGAGAACCCGGCGGCCGCTTCACCCTAAAAATCCACATGCCACTGACGATGTTCGCCCCAGGAGGGGGAACAGCGTCAACGTAGGTGCCTGTGGACTTCCAGGAAGCCATCTCTGCATGCATAGCTGCCTGCCACTGAGAGGAGTAGGGACCCTCTATCACCTCCGCGTAAGAGCGCGGAGTCGGGATGTCAAGTGCATCCGGGTCTCCCTCAGGGGCAAGTAGTACAGACGCGAGATGAGGTGAAGCGGCGGCCAGACACTGGAACTCCTCCTGCCTGTCCTCAACTCAAGGACGTCCGTGCCAAGGGCACACTCACCCCCGACGGACGGAGGACAGGCAGACTCAGACTCAGCGACAAGACTAGCAGCGTAGTCTAGACGACAGCGCGCAGCAAAGTCGACGAGCTCAGTGACAAGGGCAGACGCAGCAGAAGACTCGAAAGAAGGGTCAGTGACAGCAGTAGCAAGGAGACGCGTGACAGTGGGACTGGCAGCACGAAGAGAGTCCGACTCCGGGTCGGCAAGAGCAGGAAGAGAGGAAGCAGGAGGAGAAGGCAAAGGGGCACGCAGAGGAGCAGTGGATGGACGCAGAGACATCCGGTGCGTGCCAGGGACAGGAGGAGGACGCTGACGCGAACCACGACCACTAGTGCGCGCAGTACGAACAGGCGACGCAGGACGAGACGCAGGCTCACAACGCTCAGTAGGACCTCCAGTCGGACCAGCGTAGGGAGAAGGAGCAGGCAAAGGGGAGGCAGGCTGTAGCTGTGACTGTGACGAGACAGGCTGTGGACCCTCTAAGGGAGGAGGAGGAGGACCAGGAGAAGGTGTAAGACCAAGAACCTGCTGCAGGAGCGGAACGAAGTACGGTCGGGGCCGCGCGGCGACGCCAGAAACAGCAGGGACAACATCAGTACCCCCAGTAGGAGTACCCGCTCCAGCAACACCTCCAGCAGCTCCAGAACCTCCAGCAGCACCACCAGGAGCACTGTCAGTCGGACCGCTAGCGGCAGTCTCAGCGCCAACACCCTCAGCAGCACCAGCTCCAGGAGAACCCTCAGACCCAGCAGCTCCAGTACCCACAGCACGACCACCTCAAGGACGCTCGGCAGCAGCACCCTCTGCAGCCGAAGAACCTCCAGCACCAGCAGCACGCCTCCAGCGACGGGCAAACCACTCACGCAGCTCCTGCGGGGAGAGTGGCTGTCGGCGAGACGAAGCACCTCCAGGCGGAGCACCCCCAGTCTCAGCACCCCCAGGCTCAGCACCCCCACACTCAGTACCCCCACGCTCAGCACCCCCAGGCTCAGCACCCCCAGGCTCAGCACCTCCAGACTCCGCACCCCCAGGCTCAGCACCCCCAGACTCCGCACCCCCAGGCTCAGCACCCCCAAGCGTAGCACCTCCAGTCCCAGCACCCCTAGGCTCAGCTCCCGCAGCAGCACCAGAGTCACCAGTGACCTCGACAGGCTCGACCGCGTCTACCTGGGACACACCTGAAGGGGCAGGACCCTGAGGGGGGAGGGGGTCTACCGGGGGGGGACCTGGGACCAAGAAGAGCGGGGGCGGGGGGAGGGACGGAGTGCGGTAGGGGAAGAGGCGGTAGTAAGGTACCGACTCGTCGAACGTGACGTCCTGGGAGGACAGAACACGTCGAGAGGTGGGGTGGTAGAACTGCCACCCAGGGGCGTCGGGGGGGAACCCCAGGAAGACGCAGGGAGCAGCGCGAGGGGACAGCTTGTCCGCAGACAAGTCGCGGACAAACGCCCGAGATCCCCAGACCCGGAACGCTGACGCATCGCCAACCTTCCCCGTCCATAGCAAGGCTTGGGAGGTCTCCGGCCTGGAGACCCTGGGGTGAAGGTTGAGCTGATGCGCCGCGTACCTGACCGCAAACGGCCACAGAAAATGGGGGGCAGCCGCATGCATCATAGACGTACGAGCGACGTCCATGACCATGCCAATGCGGCGCTTTGCAATCCCATTTTGCTGCGGGGAGTCCGGAAGCGTGAAGGTCTGGCGGATGCCTCGCGCACGACAGTAGGCACGAAGAAGGCCAGAGGAGAACTCTCCGCCTCTGTCCGAGTGCAGACGCAAAACAGGAAAGTCCGAGCCGAAGCTCCGCCTGAGCTGGAGACGAGCTGCACGGATCCAGTCGATCAACACCTCAGTGACCTCACCCTTGGTGCGCAAGGGGAAGACTGTGGTGTAACGCGAGTAGTCATGAACCACCAGCAGGAAGTAGCGCTCGTGACCCTGTCCACGGACGCGGGCTGGACCCCACACGTCCATGTGAAGCGTCTGCAACGGAGCCTCTGTCGGAGGAAACTGGGAGGACTGAGGGGCAGCAAGCTGGCGCCCCTCGACACAGGGGACACAGGCAGGGCCAAGGCCCTGAGGAAGGGGAGGGAGGGACCGGGGAAGACCAGACACAAGAAGACGAGAGGCCATGCCTCTGAGCCGAAGCAGAGAGGGGTGGCCAAGGCGGTGGTGCCAGAGGAGGGTCTCGTGAGACAGACGGCGACACAAACAGGGGGCAGACTCAGGACCAGACCTGGACGCCGCAGCAAACACCTGACCAGACGAAGGGACTCGACCAGACTCAGCAGCTGGAGGAGAAGCAGTGGTCAGTGTGTACAGGCTCGACCCTGGCTGACGTGTGAACGTAGCCAGGTGACGACCCGTGCTAGCCTCTGTGCAGTGCGTCACTCGCTGACGAGCAGGAGTGAACTGGTGGACTCCCGCATCTTGTAGGTCAGCACCACTCACCAAGTTCGTAGAGAACGAGGGGAGGTAGAGACCAGACAGGGTGCCAGAGGGAGCCGCCGGACACGGGAGGACTGTGGAGAAGCGAGACAGGACAGGACCCCCAGAGGGGTCAGCCAGGGAAACCGCAACCGGCCGACTAAGCGGTGTGAGTGTGGTGTGGTCCCGAAAGAAAGAGCGAGACGCTCTAGAGTCAAGAGTGAAGGTGTGGGAGGCCGAAGCCGACGCAGTACCTGAGAGCGCAGACGCACTAGTACCTGAGAGAGCAGCCTCACCAGCACCTGAGAGCACAGACGCACTGGCACCTAGAGCAGAAGCCTCACCGGCACCTGGAGCAGCAGTACCAATGCCCGGGTCGGGCGGGAAACACCCGTAACAGTCACCATCATCACTAACGGTCACAGCATACATGGCAGCAAGGATAGCATCAAAGTCAAGGTCAAAAACAGCGACACCTGCCCTTGACAGCTCTCCCCAGCGGGGGATCTCCGCGGCCTCCGGGAACTGCTGGCGCCAAGCGTTCGTCAGGCGGCCAAAGCAGCGCTGGGCGGTGTGGGTGCCCCCACACTGCTCTCCAGCGCGCTCGCCAGTGCGGAGAACGTAGGTGTAGGGACCAAAACCCCCACCGCGCTGGCGCTGCGTGTACCACTCACGGAGCTGCTGAGGGGTGGGGACGTCGCGAGAACGCTGCTGGTGCTGCTGCTGCTGGCGCTGACCTCCCCCAGCGCCTCTCCGCTGCGAAGCTCCACTCCGACTACCTCCACCGCCGCCACCCCCGCCGCCACCTCCACCGCCCCCACCTCCGCCTCCACCGCCGCCACCTCCGCCACCTCCGCTACCACCGCCACCGCCGCCGCCACCCCCGCCTCTACTGCCGCCACTAGCACCCCCACCCCCGCTACCACCTCCACCGCCACCCCCACTCCCTCCGCCGCCTCCACCTCCACCTCCACCGCCCCCACTGGCCCCACCCGCTCCCTTGCCCCCCTTGCCCTTGCCAGAGCGGCGTCTCCCGCTAGGGGCAGACGCCGCACCGACCGAGTCAAGACCAACGAGGTCGGCCGCAGCGGCAGAGGCGACAGAGGGCAGGAGAGGGGAAGGAGAACACCCCTCAAAGATGGGGGCGCGGGGGTCGCCTCGAGAGGCTCCTACATCAACTATGCTCTTCTCTGCCGCAAGGAGGGCCTTCTCTAGGCTGTCGACTGTGAGGGTGGTGGGACAGACTGCGAGGAAGTGGTCCCGGACTACACGAAGGGAGTCAGGGAGGCGAGTGACTAAGAAGTAGAGAGTGATGTACATGGGGGGGGGGTTCTTGGCGCAGAACTCAATAGGAAGCGCAGCGCGGTAGCGAGTGTCACTAGTGCGGAGGTGCGTGATGAGATCAGCGACAGTGGGAAAGGCGGCAAGGTCAGGGAAGAGGAAGGGGAGCATGAGGTGGCTCAGTGCAGTAGTGGCAGGGGAGGAGTAGCGCGCAACTATAGCGTTGTACAAGGTCTGGGCACTCTTGTACTGGCTAAAGTGCGCGCGCTCAGCGGTAGGCAAGTGGCGACGCACAGCAAGACGTGCAGCAGCATCGCGCGTGGCCCACTGTGAGCGAACAGTGGCGTCAGCATCAGCAGCAGGGGCAGGGACGGCGCCAGAGGTGAGGTCAAAGAGAGACAGACCGTCCGCCCTATCGCACTGTAAAAACAGCTGCAAGTCGTCGAGCCAGACCTCGAAGTCTATGGCTCGACCCTCAGCGTCAAACGCAAGGACACTAGGGGTAGCCATGACGACGACAGTGAAGCAGTGCAAGTAGTAGGGGAAGGGCACGCAGTGATAGCGGTACAGTGCTTACCGGGCAGGGCAGGTCGGGCGGCTCGGTAGAAAGGCGGCTCGGCTACTCAGCGACTCGGCTCCCGGGCGGCTCGGCTCCCAGGCGGCTCGGCGGTAGGGCGGCTCGGGCGGGGCGGCTCGGCTGCCGGGCGGCTCGGGTGCAAGGGCGGCTCGGCTGCACTGCTGCTCGGCTGCTGCAGTTGGGCAGCTCGGCTGCTGCAGTTGGGCGGCGCGAGAGCAAGGGACGGCGGGGCCGTGAGCGCTGGGGCGGCTGGGCCGCGTATCAGGGGCGGCGGGGCCGGGAGCGCTGGGGCGGCGGGGCCGCGAGATCAGGGGTGGCAGGGCCTGGAGCGCTGAGGCGGCGGGGCCGCGAGATCAGGGGCGGCAGGGCTTGGAGCGCTGGGGCGGCGGGGCCGCGTATCAGGGGCGGCGGGACCGGGAGCGCTGGGGCGGCGGGGCCGTGGGCGCTGGTGCGGCGGGGCCGCGAGATAAGGGGCGGCGGGCGGGCCGCGACAGAGTGGCGGGGCCGCTCAAAGGGGTGGCGGGGCCGCGACGAGGTGGCGGGGCCGCGCGAAGAGGTAGCGGGGCCGCGACTGGGTGGCGGGGTCGCGACGGAGTGGCGGGGCCGCTTGAAGGGTGGCGGGGCCGCGACGGAGTGGCGGGGCCGCGACGGAGTGGCGGGGCCGCGACGAAGTGGCGGGGCCGCTCAAAGGGGTGGCGAGGCCGCGACGAAGTGGCGGGGCCGCGCGAAGAGGTAGCGGGGCCGCGACTGGGTGGCGGGGCCGCGACGGAGTGGCGGGGCCGCTACGGGACGGCGGGGCCGCTAGCAAGGGCGGCGGGTGGGCCGCTAAGGTAGGGCGGCGGCTGGGCCGCGAGTAGGGCGGCGGTCGGGCCGCGAAGTAGGGCGGCAGGGCCGCGAAGGAAAAGGGCGACTCGGAGGGTCGCTAAAAAAAAAGGCGCGCGCCTCGGGCGCGCTTCGGTGGGCCCTAAAGAACAGTCCCTAGGATGGGACCTGCTCTGATTCCATGTGAATAAAGGAACGTGAATGAATGACTAAGAACGAAGTGAGTACAAATAGGAAACCCTAATTGGGTTGTACCCCTTATGGGATACCCCACTATAGCCTACACAAATAAGTAAGCTATAATGTTCTGACACATGAAACCTAAGTTCATTGCAATCCTTTGAACGGTTAAATAAAGAGGCTACGACAGGTTTGTCTCGCAAAACTTAGTTCTAGTTTATAGTTCATGTTCCTTCTCACCTTAGAGTGGTAGGTGGAGGGTGACTAGCTGGCGGCTGTGAAGAACCTAGCTCAGCGCGAAGAAATGCGGGAGGAGGAAAGGAACAAGCTAACCCTAGATGAAGGAGTAATTCGTCGCAAACGAAAACGTTTATTAAATTCGGTTTTTCGATGTTAACACTAGTGATAGCACAGTTGTTTGAGAAATTCTTCGAATGAGGAAGGTGGCAAGTACGAAACCTATTTGGGACCCTTTTGCAAACCTCAACAATTTTTTTTTAAGTTTGATGTTGTGATACTTTTTATCAATGTTGTGCACTACAAGTTATCAATGTTGTGCACTACAAGGTAGGTAATCGTGTAAATCAAAATCTCAGTATTAGAAACTGTACAATATAATTTGTTTATGCAAATCGCTTTGCAACCCTTAGACGATTTCGTCGCCTCTTTTTTTAGTGTGGATATAAGTATACTACACGCATGCATACATCCGCAGTCATAACTGTTGCTAGAAGGGCTAAATGTTACAGGTAACATTTCCCCCCTCTTACTCTCTACAGAGGCTAGAAGGCCACCCCTCCATCTTCCCAGATTGCCTTGAAATCCGCCTTCCACGTCATCGAGGCTTCACATTGGTACAGTTTGTGCATGACTTCCGCCTCATCAGCAGCCAAGTGACTCCAGCCGCCTGACCGTTCCGTAGCCCCCTTTCCAGCCACCCTTTTCCGAGCCCGGTTGTAAATCTTCACGTCCCTTGTAAAAATCACTGCCATGTATCGCAGCGCCCTTTTTGGCTGGAATCGGCTATCCCTGAAAACCGCATTGCACCTCTCCAATCAAACTTGGTGCGCCGTGATCGAGATGAAGGCAGCCTCCGGAAAACCCGTCGTCGTGCTGTTTTCTTGGAACAGCATATCGCTGAGGCACTCCATGTCTGCCCGGGTTCACACATTGTACTACTCTCTTCATCACCCCGACCACTGGTTGGATCATGGGGCAGCTGAAGAGGCAGTGGTGTTGTGACTCCTCCCCCCCGCAGTGAACACAGCGCACCCTTGCGCCCAGGAACGGAAGTCTTTCCTCCACCTGTAGGTTGTTGTGCACTCTCTCCACCACTTCCCGCCCCCTTGCTGGGGTTGCTAGTGAGTCCCGGATCTTGATGGCTTTCCCTCAGTCTATCTTCCTCCCCCTCACTTCTTCCCACTACAGCTGTTGCTTGGGTTGGGCGGTTCGGGGCCTCATTGCATTCCGCAGCTGCCTTAGTTCGGCTCGCTTGCCTTTGTTGCAGATCGGTGAGTAGACCAGCCGTGATCTCCGGTCACCCAGCGGCCCTCGCATCCTCCCTTCTATGACTGCCATTGGAGTGGTGTGTAAGTGGTCAACTGATACCACGCTGGCATACTCCACCGCGGAATATGTGCCCCTTCTTATCCACCGTCGCCCACTTCCCATACAGCACTCCGTTGTTCGCGTATTCTAGCGTGTAGTAGAAAAACTCCCTTGGTCAGTATGACGGTGTGCGAATCAAACACGTCTCCCTGAAAACCTCCTCCGCTGGCAGCTGGTGAGTACCAGGTCCCTCCAACTCTGTGGCACTGATTCCCTCGCCTTCCAGGCCCACTTTCTCTGGTCTACCCCCCCAAGTTCCTGTTCCAGGGTGGCGTCGCTCTTGAGGCTTTTGCTATCATCGCTGCTCTTTTCCACCAAGTCCCCCAGGCGTATTCCCATCAAGCAGTGCAAGCCCGCCTGATTACGAAAGGTGATCTGCCTCTGAAGAAGATTTTCCGATTGAGCAATAGCTGCTCCTCTTTCGCGTCCCATCTGTGTGCAAGGTCACCAATGATTAAGATTTTTGAGTCCCATAGGGCTTTTACTGCTGCTTTCTATCTTGTCCCGCTTCCCAACTAGTGGTTCAAGATCGAGGGGTGGGCGTAGATTGTCGCCAGACCAAGTGGGAAACCAGCCGCTCTCTCCCATAGCCAGATTCTTAAAGGTTCATGCTCCACCAGGGCCTTGCCCAGGTTTTGGATCACAGTGCTATCGATTCGGTGCTTCAAGTCTATCACTCCTAGTTTGCCGTCTCTCCTTCCCCGGCACGACAGGTCGTAACTCCAGAGGACGAAATGCCTGTCCAGCAGTGCTTTGCCCCCAGAGATGAAGTTGTGGCAGAGCCACTTCACCTTTGTCCAGATTTCATGCGGCGGGGCATAAATCTGGGCCTGGAATAGTAAGATCGGCATCGCATAGCTATTGATGATGGTGACTCTCGCGGATGTCTTGAGGTGCTTCGTTTCCTAGCAGCTCAGCACCGCGCTTACTCTCTCAAACGCCTTGTCCCACACTGGTCTCGGTGAGCCGCCGTACGTTATCCAAATACCTAACAGCCACTCCGCCCTGTCCTTGTCTGCCCAGGTGAAAGGTTAGGCTATCGGCTGCAACCTCCTCCTGTTCTTCCCCAGTGGCATCAGTGGTGTTTACTCGTGGTTCACCCTTAGCCGCGATATTCCCGCGAAGTCATCCAACAGCTTCTTCGCTGATACCACTTGCTCCTTCCCTTTTAGGACAAGGGTCGTGTCATCAGCGTAGCCAATGTAAGCTAGCTCCCCTTTTATGCCCCTTTTTTTGACTCCCAGTTTCCTCCTTTCGATTTCCTGGTAGAGTGGCTCAACGGCGCAAAGGAAGAGGTACGGGGCGAGTGGGCACCCCTGGCAAACCCCTTTTTCCATCTCCACCTTCTCCCCCACCCAGCCGTTCAGCAGCAACTTGGTAGCCGCACCATCATGAAGACCTTTCACCCATGCCGAATACCCCGTTGGGAAACCCATGTTCTCTAACATCTTGAACAGGTGCTCCCGAGACACTGAGTCGTATGCTTTCTGGAAGTCGACTAGCAGCAACAACTAGTCCTCATCCTCCTCCATCGTTGCATCTATTGTATTTACTACAAGTGAGACCGCGTCCGCCAGACTTCTTCCCGAGAGGAATCCAAACTGGTTCTCCAATATCACCCTCAGTAAGACTAATTTGATCCAGTTTGCCATTACTTTCGCTAGTAGCTTGTGGAAGAAGCTCAGTAAAATAATTGGTTTGTAGTTACTCAAGTTGTCCCTGTCTCCCTTTTTGTGTAGTAGGATTCTAACCGCCGTTGTGAAGGTTTTGGAGAGCCGTGCCGTCTTCTCGAACGCTTTGACCTCCTTCATCACCGCTGGTCTAAGGAGTTCCCAGTTGCGCTCGAAGAACTCCTTCGCAACCCGTCCTGGCCTGGAGCTTTTCCCGCTGGGAGCCCCTTGAGCGCTTCCTTTACCTCCTGCTCCGACCACTCTCTCCCAAGCATCGTCCGGTCAGCCTCTTGCAATCGCCGCCTCTCATCAATCGGCCATGGCTCCTTGACATTCCCTGCTGGTGAGCCAGCGTAGGCCTCACGGAAGTGTTCGGAAGCCGCCTGCAGCAACTCTTTTGCCCCTTTCATACACGCGCCTTTACAAAATAGTTCACTGATCTCTGTCTTCGACTTGAACAGGCCCAATAGGAAGCCCGATGATGTCTCACCTGCCAGTCCGGCCAGCATCCCTGCCATGACCTAGAGCCGCTCCTTGTTCACATCCAGGTAAAGTTTGAGTGCCGCTTCGCTCTTTGTCAGCTCCTCGTACGTATCTTGTGCCGATGGATCTGCCATCACCCTCCACCTGAGGGCCTCCACTTTCTGCTCCAG